GTTTTTAAGCCACAGCCAGTGGGTTCACGTGACAAGCTACAGCAACAACAAACAAGTCTCATTTTGTGTAAACCTTTTAAAAGCTCTTGTCTTGCAGCTGTATTTTTGGAAGTGACAGCTGTGCTGTTGAGATCTGAACTCAGCATCATTTGTGGCTTGGGGTGGTAACCAGTACCCCAAAGCTGAGTCTTATGCCATTAACTCAATTTATGGCTGAACCACGGATTGTGGTGGGCAGATCTAAGCCACGATCTATAATCTTCATGAACTGTAATCTTCATGAACGTTCATGTTTAAAGTGCTTGCTGGTGTTTCTTTACCACCACCCCCCATGTCTTAAAAAATATTGGGAGAGTAACCCCCCCCCAGGCTCTTCATTTGTAAATGTGTCACTTGTTACCTTTCTGAGGGACATCCATTTCATCCCATTTTAGAAAAAAAAACCACAATTTTGTACACTTCATTTATACACTGAGCTATCCCACCCAAATGTGTGCTGTAATAAGTAAGTAAGTAAGTAAGTAAGTAAGTAAGTAAGTAAGTAAGTAAGTGTGCGGTGGTGGCAGCCCAAAAAAATGCTAATTACAATCCTTGCTTGGATAAACAGAGGCAGAGAATCAAAATCACGTACAATATTAGTGCCGCTGTATAAAGCCTTAATAAGGCCACACCTGGAATAGACTGCGTCCAGTTTTGGTCACCACATTACAAAAAAGATGTTGAGACTTTGAAAAAAAAAGTGCAGAGAAGAGCAACTAGGATGATTAAAGGCCTGGAGACTAAAACATATGAAGAACGGCTGCGGGACTTGAATGTGGCTAGTTTAGAGAAAAAGAAGGAATAGGGGGGACATGATAGCAGTATTCCACTATTTGAGAGGCTGCCACAAAGAAGAGGGGGTCAAACTATTCTCCAAAGTACCAGAAGGCAAGACAAGAAACAATGGCTGGAAACTAAACAAGGAGAAAAGCAACCTAGAATTAAGGAGAGATTTCCTGAGAGTGAGAACAATTAACCAGTGGAACTGCTTGCCTCCAGAAGTTGTGGGTGCTCCATCACTGGAGGTTTTTAAGAAGAGACTGGACAGCCATCTATCTGAAATGGTCTAGGCTAGGGTCTTCTGCTTGAGGCCTAGAAGACCTCCAAGGTCCCTCCCAGCTCTATTCTGATTAAATTAGTTCGTCTTTAAAGCCCTGGCGTATATTTTTATTTAAGTACTTGCCTAGAAGAAGGACATGCAGAGCTTGGAGGCGGAGTCAAGTAAATAATCAGCCCGGAGTCATTACATTCCAGCAAGTAATTTATGTCCAACCTCACTTGAAATTCCAGTTGTCTCTTATCTCGGGCCAATTTAGTGCTGATTGTTCATTGACTAGATTCTTGTGGAGAGGCTTCAGCCATAAATCATCTTAACTGGGGCTTAACATGTGGATCTGATTCTTCAGATCTGACAGTTTGTTTGCTCAATGTATGTTCTTCCCTTCCTCAAGGAAGCAAACACAGCATCTCCTTCTCTCTTTCTGTTGGCCACCAGCCCTGTTAAAACCAGTGAATATTCATGACTGAAAGCAACCTTGAAGCTGTTCTCCTCAAGCTTACTCAAAGCCCTTTCCTACCCCTCCTAGTTTTCGGTGTAAGGACATAACACCCCATCCATCCATCCATCCATCCATCCATCCATCCATCCATCCATCAGAATAGAGCCGGAAGGGACCTTGGAGGTCTTCTAGTCCAGCCTTCTGCTCAACAGGAGAGCCTGTGCCATTTCAACCAATCACTCAATCCATCCATCCATCCAAACATCCATCCGAATAGAGTTGGAAGGGACCTTGGAGGTCTTCTAGTCCAGTCCCCCTGCTCAAGCAGGAGACCCTGTGCCATTTCAACCAATCATTCTATCCTTC